GGGTTCTTGCAGGTGTGGATGTGGTCTGGATGTTGTCCTGTGTCCTGTGGTCTCTATTTTAGGAAGATTTTTCTTTGTTATATTTTCATAGCTCTATGTGTTTTTGGGAGGAGATTTCCACTGCTCTACTCACGCCGCCATCTTGGCTCCCCTGTCAAGCTATTATTTTTGAGAACACATTTTCCTTTGAAACATGGAAGGGAAATTACTCAGTGCTTTTTCAACAATAAATGTTGGCAGTTGTTTCATATCAGTACATACATGTGCTCATTGAATGCTTTCCAACAGGGCAGAACCATTATATGGATGACCTATATTTTATTTGGTCAGTTATCTGTGATGGAAGGTTAGGTTGTTTCTAGGATTTGGGTACTACAAAAAATAGTGAATGCACATCATTGTGTGTATTTGTAAACCCAAGTAAAGTATGTGGATATATTCCTAGCTATCATTTATCTATCTAGATATAGACATATTCACAGGGGTGGAATTGTTGGGCCAATATACGTACATTTAAAAAAGGGTATAAACAATTGATGTTGAAAACCATCTTGTAGACCATATCTTAAGGTCAGAATACATTCAACCAAATCTCCCATACCTTCTACATGTAAGAACCATAAGATGATTCTTTCTTTGAGTGAAATACTTTTTAATACCTCAAAGTGCCTTTTGAGTTATCAGGAAACAATCTCTCCCCCTTTTCTGGCTGGAACCATAGAGGGTGTAGAAGAGAAGAAAAAGGCAAACCTTTAGGAAAAAGTAGAGGAATTTCCCGGAGCGGACAATCAAGCACCTGAGGGAAAAAAAAGTTTGCCTAAAAGATGCTTCTAAAGGCAAGGAGGAAGTTTATCTACAAAAAAGCTAGGAACCATCAAAAGAAATATAGGCAGATGGACAGAGAATGATAAGAACAAGGGAAAACTTCTCTGTACCTGTGGGGCCCAAATGGGCATTCTCACCAGGATCGCAGGTATCAATGGTGTGAGGCAAGGATCTGAAAGGTGTTGCAACTTCTTGTCTTCACCAGATCTTCAGTGGCATCTGTGTTAAGCTCAACAAAGCTTCGGCTGATGGGCTGAGGACTGTGGAACCATGTACTGTGTGCGCATATCCCAACCTAAAGTCAGCAAATGAGTGGCTCTACAAGAGTAGTTATGGCAAAATAAACAAGCAAATTCCCCTGACAGATAAATTTCCATTGTTCCATCTCTTGTTAAACATGGTGTCATTTGCATAGAGGATCTGATTCTTGAGATCTACAGTGTCAGAAAACATCTCAAAGAAGCAGCTTCCTGTGGCCCTTCAAATTATTATCACGAGGTGAAATGAAAAAAAAGACCACTGTTTTGTCGAAGATGGAGATGCTGGCAACAGGGAAGACCCAGTGGACAGACATATTAGAAGGATGAACTGAGAGGTCTACCGTGATCATTTCTGTAATCTGGTGAGTTAATAAACAGTGGCTTCTTTCAAACTGCAAAAAATAAAATGTCATTCTTAGGGGTTTGTTCTCAAGTTCTTCCTTTGAAGGACATTATGGTTTAGCTGAAAAATCTCTAACAGGATCCTTAGCAGGATCCCCAGTCCTGCTCTGTCTTGGGCCCAGACTGAGGATCCCCAGGATCAGCCAAGCTTAAATTCCCTTTTTGTGGGGAGCTCTACACTTCACCTCCAGTCACCCTGACTCACACTCTGTGTTGGCTTTGGTTCGTCTCTCTCCCTAGTCTCCTGAGTCCGCTGGACCATTCTCCAGCATCAACATTTAATGCTTTTGTTTCTGTACATCCTGCCATTCCTTAATCCTGCCCTTTAATCAATTTCAAGAAGTGGTTTCCTCATGGATTTCATACTTTGTCTCTCTCTTTCAGACTTCCCTGGAATAGTATTAAAATAATGCATCCTAAACATGTAAGTCATGACTCAAACCTAAATCTAAATTATCTCCCTACAAACACCTTGGCTAGCCCTTCAAGGCCTGCTCCCAACTCAGCCCTGCAGCTAACTTCCCATCGCTTTCTCCAGCCAAAATTTTCTTGTACCTGGCATCCCCAAACACAATACCCATTTTCCTGTCTTCACATATGCTGGTCCCTCATCTGAAGACCTCCTCCAACTCTCCACCTATAGAAATCCTGCATATCCTACCAGGTTCTCTCAAGTCTCACCTCTTTCCCTGTCCATTCCAGATGAAAATCTTCCCAACTCAAAACCCCATTGCATCCTCTTTAGTACCACCATCTTTCAACAGTTAGCTTTGCTGGAGTAGCTCTTTTGCTCACACACGCAGTTCCTGTAATTGCATTTGAAGCTCATTGTTTGGAACATATGGCATCCAGCATATTATTCTGCCTTGAATATACACTTCCCAAGGTAAACAGGAAAGCAAAATTCTCTTACACAAAATTGGGTGCTGAGTTGAAGAGCACTAAACTCATGCAAGCACCACACTCCGACTCCTCTTCCCCGTCTAGGTGGCAGGAGGGAGTAAAGATGGCTCCTAGCACAGGTGGTAACACCTACTGATTCTAGACAGAAACCAGGACTATAAAGGTCTGGAAAAAAACAGACCCCTTCCATTTTCTGAGATTCTCAGCATACTGGAAACTGAAGATGCGCTAAAAGTGGATTACAGAAACTCTCATGTTTGACATCTTTCCATTGCACCATCCTTTTCATTCCTGTCGTCAGTGTGTCTCTGTGCCCTTTTAATTTTACCTCAGAGAACATCACAAACTTCAAGTTGAAATAACCTTGGATTATAATATTCTGGACTCTTATATGTTGAGTAACGAGGCGGCCGCAGGCTGCTGGGCCCAGAGCGATGACTCTGCGGGAACCGCGGCGCCTGCTTACACAGCACGGAGCGGCTGACTCCAGGCCGGGTCCAGGGCGCCCGCGTCGGGTTCCGTCGGGCCCGCACTCGCTGCCTTGAGGAAATGACACTTCCCGATGGACATCGGACCTCCCACCCCTTCTGCCCACTGCCATTTGCCCCCTCAGCGAAGGGAACGGGACACGCGTCCCGAGGCCTGGTCCAGGTACCCAAGGGCTCGGACCCGCAGAGGTGGGGATGCAGCGCCGGGCAGCCGGCCCACAAAGGCACCAGCGAAACGCGGCGCGGGAACGCCTGCCAGGCCGGCCTCACCCCAGGGGGCGCGCGCCCGCTGTTCCCGATTCCTCTGCGGCCCGCCTCCTTGCCTCGCGCCCAACCAACAACCACTTCCTGTCCCACTCCCGGCCAATCGCTATACTCCACGAAGAATAGTCCTAGGGGGCGTATGGGAAGGTGCATAGAGAGATGGCAGCACCGACCAACCGCATCCAGGAGCTTGCTCGTGGGGGCGGGACTTGGTCCAGGCTGCAGCTTCTCAGGAGCGAGGGGCGGGCGCGGGGCCGGGCTTCGTGCGGTGGGCTTGCTCGCGCGGCTGTAGCTGTAGCCGAGGCCTCTAGGTTTTGCAGCACGTGACGGTCGGGCCTCCTCAGCCGCTGTCTCCACTGCAGTGCAGGGCCGGGTGTGCTGGCGGGAGGAGGCGCGGGCGCCGCCGGCGGTCCCCCGGAGGCTCGAGGTGAGGCAGGAGGCCCGCGCGTGACCTCGGGCCTGTAAGGACCGTGGGGGTCCTGGGTGCGCGCCGTCGCTGCCGAGGGGACGGGCGTGGCTAGGCGGAAGAGTCGGGGTGGGTTTCGAGGGCCCGGGCCCCGGCGGACGTGCCGGCCGTGAGGGGCGAGGCGTGTGAACCTGGGCCGCATCGGTCGGGTAGCCAGGCCCAGGCCGTACCGCCGAGCCCGGGAGGCGTGGCAGGTGCCCTAGAGCCTTCCATGACCTGGGAAAACCAACTTCTTCCAACGCCTTAGCTTCTAGGGCTTTCTTAGGCCTCCGCTGGCCGCCTTGGACGCCGCGAGGTGGGCTGGAGTAACCGGGTGTAAAGGTCTGGCATGGAGTCGGGCCTAGTGGGTACCCATACCCGTGGAGAAAGGTGACACCGAACCGAGAGGATATTTAGGATTAATGTTACAGGTTCAATATTTAAAAATTAAACCGCAAGGCGCAGACTGGACTCGAGCACCCTGAAGAGTATGGAGAATGTGCTAGAACACGCAGTGGTTGAAAAACTCAAGTCTTAACATTTACATATATTTGGGGGTGTAATATATGTAATCCGGTTGGAAATTCACTGGACGTTAAAATCAGGAAAGGACCCAAAAGCTCAGTGTGAGTAGGTTGTTTTATAGTGGAGAAAACTGAGGCCCAGAGCTAGGAAGTGACTGGCCCAAGGTCATGCCATTAATTTTATGATTACTTTGGGATTATAGCCGAGGGTTGGGCAGTTTTGGTGTAGTGGTTAAGGCCCTGGTTTAAGTCCTTCATTGGCCATTTTGTTAGGTGAGCTTGGCCAATTTACTTACTTACCCTTTGGGCCCTGGTTCTCCCCAGGTAATGGATATAATAATACCTGGTGGAGTTGTTTTTAGAATTAATTTTTTAAGACGTGTTTCAAATAGGACAGGGAAGCCTGCCACATATTAGCTGCTTGATAAATAATGACTGTTGTAAACTGTAGTCTGAATGTTCGTGCTCTACATTGATATCCTAGTTTTTGAGTTGGTTGAGTTCTGGGTTCCAAGACTTGGGAGTCACTAAAAGATGGAAGAAGCTGGACCTGGTGGATTGATTAACTGCTGGGCCTGGTACAAGTGAATGCTGGTTTAGGGAAGTTAAACTGAGCTGAACATTAAAAGCTTGGGAGGACAGAGGTGAGGCACAGTTGAGTCTCTCTACCTCTGCTTTAGGAATTGGGACCTTTTGCTTACTTTTTTAAGAAAGTAGAGTTTTTCTTTTTTTAAAGGGAAGAAATGTATTAATCTTTAAAATCATTATATACCTCAGTTTTCCCCCAGCAGTTTGTAGGTCATGAATAGAATCACTGCCATGTTGTACTTTTGCTGTAATTAGACTCAGCAGCTGACTTAGAGCAGAGGTAGAATTCTGTGGGAGTTCTCCTTTGCACCAGTGAGAGTGCACAAGCAAACAGGCTGGGTAACTGGATCAGGAGACGGCTAGAGTGAACTATGTATTGGTGCGAATGTATCGCAAGACAAACATCTTTTCTGACCTGACCTATCTGAAAAGGGTGTCAGTGTCCCCTCCCCACCTTGCTATCTGATCTCAGCAGTTCATCTAGTACACACTATCTTCCAGGGAGCACCGCGGGTAAACGCTTTGACAGAAGTCGTTGCTGCTGTTTTGGCAAGCACACTGTTGCATCCTTTTAGTGACAGAGTTCACCTTGCCCTGCAAGATAGCCTAAGGGGACAAAGTGGCAGTTGGTAAGCATAAATTCAGGCACAGGAGACTTGAATTTCAGGCCCAGCATGGTAACTGGTTTATGAACCACTTTGGTTTCCACATCTTTAACATGGGGTGAGAAGTCTCCTGAAAAACTTATCGTCAAGGGACTACTGGGAGGGACAGGTACGATGCTGACCATGAAACTACTTTGAATGTGTAAAGAGAACTGTGCAAATAGAAGAATTGGAAGCACATAACTAGGATAATAAAACTGCCAGAACATAGTCATAACCTGTGTAGCTCACTGAACAACTTTGTCAGGGAAGGGCTAGTTTGAATGCTTTGTTAACTGCAACAGATGTACTTTTGAAGTAAGCTTAACTTCGAGCTATGAAAATTATTTGGAGAATTGTTTTTAAAGAATTTAGAGAATCTTCAGCAGTATGTTTTGAGTACTCTCATCTTAGTTTACTGAAAAAAAAAGTGCTGTGGAAAAATTGATTCTGTCAATGAAAAACGAAATTCAAAACTGAACAAGGCAGTATAGATCTATTTTTAAATGGATGAGCTTTTACAATAGAGACCATTTTGAATTTTATGTACTTTCTTTAACCTTTTTTTTTGACTAGCTGCAAGGTGTAGTTAAATCAGAAGATTCAAAAAGTAGTAGTAGTAAAATGTTTATCTGTGACTGGAATCAAATTCCTTTTAACTGGTTCCTTTCCAAATTAAGACTTAAAATTTCTTATTTGACTTAAAACTCCAAGAGTTTTAGAACTTTCAGACTTCAGTGGCATTACTGGATAACACCTAGTAATAATACAAATTACAGCTGATGTCCGGCAGACACTGTAAGCCAAGCACTGTCTCAAGCTCTTCGCATGCATTTTGTTTATACAATGACCCTGAGATGTACTAGTGTTCTCATTTTAGAGATGAAGAAACTGAGGCCCCCAGTTAGTAATTCACCCAGTATGCCAAGTTACTCAGTAGCTAGTGAATGATAGTGATTTCTGTCTTGGTTTTCATCAGTACTACCATGTGTCTCACTGTGACTTGGACTTTTATGTAACTTCTCTTTGCTTTAGTTTCTTCTCGTGTCAGGTGGGCATGATAGAACCTCCAGGGGTTTTTGTGAGGATTAAATTAGATAACCTAAAGTATCTAAACCCCATAACATGTAAATTTAAAAAGGGTATATTAATAGATGAATGGATAACCCACATGAAAGAAAGACTGCAATGTATTTATTTTTAACACCGAGAACATTAGCTAGATTGTTTTTCCTGTTCCTCTTTATGATTTTTCACAGACTAAAGGAATTGGAGTTGAAATGCCCTACTTTCAACAAAGTCCCACAAAGAAAAGCCCAGAAACCAATGGTTCACTGGTGAATTCTACCAAATTCTTAGTGAAGAATTAACCTTAGTGTTTCACAAGTTCTTCCAAAAAACAAAAGGGGAGAATACTTCAACTCACTCTGTGTAACCAATATTGTAACTCTGTGTAACTCTGATACTACAACCAAAGACTTCATAAGAAAAGGAAACTATAGATCAATATCTTTTGTGAAAGTAGATGCAGAAATCCTCAAAATGCAAGCAGACAGAATGTAGCAAAATATAAAAAGCATCCCATGCCTTGACCAACAAGGATTTATCCCAGGAATGCAAGGTTGGTTCAACATACAATAATGAATCTGACATAACCATGTTAAAAAGGACAGAAATCATATGATCATCTCAGTAGACCCAGAAAAGCATTTGACAAAATGCAACACCCTTTCATGATAGAAACATGTAATAGAAAAGAACATTCTCAATTTGGTTTGAGACAAATAATCCTTTCCCTGAGATTTCTTCTGTTCCTCTTTCTAATTTCTCATGGATCAAAGGAATTAGTTGAAGTTTCCCAACTTTGAAGAGACAAAGTCCCACAAAGAAAAGCCTATAACCAATGCCTTTGCACATGAATTCTATGAAATACTTAAGGAAAAATAATATTAATCCTTTACAAATGCTTCCAAAAAATAGGAAAGAAAACCTTAGACCAATAACTTATCTGAAAATAGGTACAAAAATTGACTTAACTGGAAAAGATAAGATGTAAACATTTTAATTTAATGAATTTAGAAACAATTTGAGCTTCTTTAAAAGATTTTTTTCTGAATGGGCCCTTATTGGGGACAAAGTCTTTGCCCTTTTTTTTTGTTGTTGTTATCATTAATCTACAATTACATGAAGAACATTATGTTTACTAGGCTCCCCCCTTCACCAAGTCCCCTCCATACACCCCATTACAGTAAAGTCTTTGCTTTTGACAGGTGACATTTATTATGTCTTGTTTCTGGTAAATACAAAATTTTGTGTTCAATTGAAGGGTCATGTATGTTATTGAATGCATATAGTAAAATAATTTGGACTGTATTTTGGAATGTGTGCTGAGAAGAGAACCATCATTAACCAAAATAAATTTAGAATTCATATAGAAAAGTAATTGGTAAAAGAGCAGGGGGAAAAAAATCACAGGTAAACATGGACATTTCCATATCCAAATGCTAAAACTTTATATATACCATTGCAAGGAAGATTTAAAGAAGAAAATATAGCTGGAGGAAAGTTTTTCTTGTTAGGTAAAATCATTTAGCTCTGCTAAAATATGTTGGAGGAGTAGGCAGGCATATTAGGCCATTTGGTTTAGTATGAATATTGAAAATGTGTTCATCGTGGTTGTACTAATCTGTATCAGAAAACAAACCATTGCTCATACTATGAGGTGCTGGACTCTGATAGACTTTGTATTATCTTTTTACATTTTCACAGCAAGCCTTTGAGTCAGTAGTACTTTTATCCACACCTGAAAATAGGGAAAGAAGACTCCTAGAAGCTCAGGAGGCTGATCAAGGCCACAAAGCAGAACTGGAGAGTCTGGAACCCAGGTGTCTCTGAATTGACAGGTTATATCACCACATGCACTACTGCCTTGTGAATAAGGAGTTAATTTTCTGAATCATCATCTTTAAAATAAGAAATGTCCATCTCTAGTGTTCAAGATAAATTCATGCTTTTCAGAGTTGCAAAGTTGGATTGAAATATTAAAAGTGGGTGGATTAGGTGTTTTTGAAGAATCCTAACCCTGAGATTTTTGAGAGTTGGGCTTCTGCTCTGTCCTTAGGAAACTAAAGCAAGCCAGAAATAATTTATATTCTGAATATATATTCAAAGTGTGCATGTGTTTGGCTCTTGTTTACTTAGCTTTGTGTACGTTTGTCCATGTGAT